AAAAAAAAAAAAAAAAAAAAAACAATCACTTATGGATCGAAGGTTGCTCTCATTCATGTGCCTACAGGAAAATATCTATCTACTAATAGACAAAAATACAACTTGGGACCAAGCAACCAGCAGTATATGGTATTTATCATAACTTTTTTATTTTATAATCAATACTAAAAAAATTTTTTATTATAAATATTATAAATCCACAAAGGCTATTTGTAATGGCCAAGAAATAGATTTGAAAAATGACGTTTGGATAATTCTTGGGGCTAATAATAAAAAAGCTGTAAATATAGAAAACCCTGTATCTTTTAATACAGTAATTGGACTTAAACATCAAGCAACAGAAGTATGTTTACATTCTCATGACATGAATTATGGGAAGGTTACACCCAAATCACATTATCAGCAAGGTATTTATATAAATAATTTTTCTTTTATTTACACGAACTAAAAATTATTAATTTTAATACATTAGTGACGATATGTCCTGGTAGAAATTCTGATGATAATTGGGAAATTAGAAGTTTTGGTTCTGGTGCTTTCTGTAACTATTTGAGAGATGATGACACTATTAGTTTTTTTCATATTACTACTAGTAAACCAGCACTTTACAGTCATAATGTCCTATTAGATAACGGATGTCAAGAGGTTTGTTGCCATGGATATGGAAGTGATGAGAATAATAAGGTACCGATATATTTAAAGTATCTTAATACTAAATATTATTACTTGTCCAATATGTATGATTTGAAAATTCTCTGCATTTTTTTTTTTAGTGGTGCATTAAATTAATTGAATGATAAGGCAACACTTTTATTATAAAAAGGCATACTTCAAGTAGTGCCCTACTTTTATTTTATTATTGTTATCATTGTCAAGGTTTATTTATTAAAAAGTTATCATGTTTAGCCAATAAACTGCCTGAAATACATGAGTGTTTAAATTATTTTGGCTTTGGCGTAAATATAAAATGGCTAAATTAATTTTAGATGTAAATAATTTAGGATTTTGAAAATAATTTAGGATGCAAAAATTATTTTAGTATGTCGAATATGCTTAAAATGTTTTCTCCATTCCAAAATATTTTGACTGGCGAAAATTAAATATTTTAAAATATAATAATATTTTAGAATACCGAAATATAAATAACCTTAAGAATTGATTATAATAAATATTGGCAAAGTTTTTTTTTACTGCAACTTTTGAGTATTTTGAAAGGATGAAACTAATTTACATGATATTACACAAAAATTCGTGTAACCCAAACCCTAACTCTAAATTGTATTGGCTAACTACATTGGTGTTACATATAACAATTATTATGAATACATTTTTTCTATATCAAAGGATAAAATCATGAAATTTTAGCTACGTATAATGGTAAGATAATGTTCATATACCACATATTATCTATTTATATAATTCAAGAGAAGATGGGGCGCCACTGACACCCCTATTGCGTTACTTGTGTCAATGTTGGTCAAATTCATTAATATATGTCAGATGATATTGATTAATTCATATGCTCATAATTATGTTTACGATAACAATTTGTATTATGTGGGTATCAAACCTCAGAAAATGCAAGATGATTACGTTATTAATTAATAACAAAAAAAGTATTAATGTATATTTGTATCGGAATAATCCAGTCTGATGTTTTGGTTGAATTTTAGTTATGATTGATTAATGTTAGCATTAAAATCATTAAAGTGGAATATTCAGAGATCAGCATAACAGTTAAGCAGTTGAGTTTGTGCGGCTTAATGCTGGCCGGTGCCTTCTTGCCTGCATAATGTAGGATGGCAGTTAGAGCTAAATTGGCGATAGCTGGTGAGAATTACAACTGCGCTAAATCAGCTATTTTCTCACAGTATTCATTATTAAGTTAGAATTGCTATATGCGGAAGGTCATTTATCACCATACTCCTGTAATCTTGATTATGCGGGATTGGTCCTATTCCTGTTTGCTTTTTTACGAAGCACATTGCTCTGCGTAACACCTTTTTGATCTGTTGATTTTTGTCGACTCAAATGAAATTACAGCGGATTGGTATAGGTGAGCGGATCTGTATAGTACAGGCTCAATTTTTTAAAAACTACACCATACCGATATTAATCAGCTATAATTTCTAAGCCTAATAAGGCCGCTTGAAGTTAAACTTTCGTTTAACGTTTCCCCCCTCCATCCCCTGAGCTCCCCTCTAAAATTAAACAAATAGAGGTGACAAATTAGTCAGTGTAATAGTCAGCACAGCGATCGGAATTTTTTGATTATATTCGGGATTTTTCGGTATACTATATGTTTATTTTTTATGTTTGTTTAACCTTTCCCCCTCTCCCTGTGAATACGAAAAAAAATAACATTAAACGAAACTTTAACTGCAAGCGGCCTAAGTATAGTTTATAAATTAGCCTGTACTATACGGATCTGTTTACTTATACCATACCAAAATATGATTTATTAATCGAGTGTCAATATATATAATAATTGTATCGATATTTTAATCGTAAGTAGACAGTATTACCTATGGGAAATTTTTTAACTTAGTATTACATTATGATCGCCAATGATGCCATTTTCCCACGTACTGACAATTTGAAGTCATGAGTTATGCACTTATAGGTTCTGACTAATCAGATAATTTGGAATGGACAGGACACTCGTGACAGCGGGTAATTTTATTAATTTTGAAATAAAATTTTTTTCACAGGTCATAATTTAGTGTTTACTAAAACGGGTATATGCATTATGACTTTCATTATCATGACTAAAACTTTTTCCTGTTTTAATTAACTTTGTACGCAAGATTACACATACCGATATCTGACGCATGCCATAAAATGCTATTTAACGTAAATCAAAGTTAAAAATTCTTGCATACTATCGCAACTTTAATATCCAACCAATCTTTGCACGCTATTATAAATTATCAAATCTAGCCAATGAGATCTCATAAAAGTTACATTTGCATGA